ACCTCCTTTCCATTTTTCGTGATGCCTGCTTTAGGGAGCGGAGCTGCGAGCTGTACCATGGGGCTAGCCTTCTCTGTTTCACTGCCTTCCTTTTCAGAGGGGCAATGGTATAAGTGTATTACGCAGGAAGGCTGCAGTACTATCAACAAGATTATCGACTTGTGTGGGAGTAAAGTTAAGGTGGCCTCCTTCCACTGTGTTGGCAAACGGCACTGAAGTAGATAAAGATGGAATTATTTCCTTAAACTTGGTAACAGCATTGCCAGATAGACATCTACTGTAGTGGAATTGTTTCCCACATAGAGTATAATCCATTAATGGAAATTCAAAAGTTTCAGTTAAAAACTCTGAATAAGGAGCAGGTGGACAGTAACACATAGAACTGGGTTTGAGTTTTCCAGTTTGGAAACTGGAAAGACTCAGGGTGAGACTTTCAAATAAGTTATAACTATGTTTAGGTCTAGGGTTGATTCACTTATCAAATCATTCACCAACAGAGATTTAGATGAGAGAGATCTGATATTTAATAGTCCACATTTGATTGTCCTATTACTTTCTACTATAAGAGGAGTCATCTTAATTTTAATTAGGTTCTTATGAATAACTCCTCTCGAGTTGATTCTTGATTTATATAATTTAGGTGGGCGGGGGGCAGACACAGTCTCTATGGGGTACTGGGAGCGTTGGGTGGGTAGCAGCTGCAAGGAGACAGCAGAGAGGCGTGTAAGACTGTGACCCTGCATCCTGGACTCAACTCTGGGTTGTCATAATTTAGGTTGTAAAACAAACTCGTCCAGATTTCTAGATAAGAGAGCCGCACCACCCAAAGTGGGATGGATGCCGTCTCTACTAATCAGACCAGGTTTTCCCCAAAATGTTTTCCAGTTGTTTATGAAGCCCACGTTATTTTCTGGGCAGAAATCTCAGTCGTCGTGGAATTTGGCGCACATGCTCGAGCTTCCTTTCCACTCCCTTCCTTGGCCATACAAGGCTGTAGACACGCATTTAATCTCCCATTTGCATATAGACACGGTCTCTGAACAGTGCGGTATTAGACATGGCGATGAAAGCGGCGCTAAAGAAGAAAAAGTGCAGTTTCAGGGAGTGTGAAATCGACACAGCGGAGGAGGTGGTCTCAGTCACGGATCACAGACGGAAGAAAAGCTACTGGATGACAAATGGAGCTGAGGCTGTCAGTGCTGAGGAGGCAGAAACGCGCATAAGTGCGCAGAGAGAGAGAGCACGAGTTCAACAGGAGGAGGACCCGCAACAGCTGCATCTTCTAGTTTGGGTCACAGCGTCAGAGGGAACCAGAAGGATCTCCAAACACGCGCTGTCCTGCAGTAACACCACGTCCTCACGCACGGCCATTACGCACAGCCACAGCTGTTTAAGTACCGTTGTACTATAATCACCTGTAAAGGCTTATTGTTGTTCCAGTGATGTGTCAGTCACCATTCAATGAAAGTGACGTAATCACAGTAACATGCGCAGTTTACAGAATAATCTAAGTCTAAAATGAAAAACAGGAAAAACGACTTCAAAGGCACAAAACACATTAGGCCAACACACAGTTTAGTCACGAAGCTAGACAGCCTTACACACCCTGGTTCCACTGTGGACAGACTGTTTTTACATGAAAAGCTGTTTTAGAACTGTCACTGCAGCTGTAGTTGCCTGTTGGCTGATGAGATGCTGAATGTAATGCCAGGTTAACAGTTTCCTCCTGCTAAGCTAAACTGATTCTAGGTGAGACACCTGGCTCCAAATGTCCCACTGCTGCTGAATAGAAAGTGTTGACAGCAGCCAATTTGTCCAAGCTCAGCCAAGGGATTTCTGAAAACACAGCCACCTTCATGGGAACATGTGGAACCTTGTAGCAGCCTATTATAACTGAAATAAATGAGATACTGTTTATGCTCAGGTCTGTTTGCAGCCTCTCTCACCTCCCACTGGAAACAACAGGCGGCGGCTGTTGGACAAACGCCGCAGATAATCGCAGAGCTGGATCTGGTTTCCTGCTGCTGTTATCCTATCCTCCCTCATGAAACCTGCTCCTGGTGGAGACAACACCTCGTCCAAAACCTCTCCATGCCACAGATCCTGCTGAGCACAACAGCCGAGACCTTTCAGACGTCCTCTGCTGTAAAAGTTTAACCCACTGAGTCAACAAGTAGTTGCTTCTAACTGATGTATGCACCTTATAACACGATACAGATCACAACACCACAGTGACACTACAGTATGTAGCAGCAGCAGTGCAGAGACACTGGCTTCTAAAAGGTTCTGCAGAGCCTAACAGATGGAAGTGGAGCCGGGGGAGGGAGGGCTGGGCGCAGCAGAGTGGCTTCATCCAGAGTTTCATGCTGGCGCTGCCTTATGTTAAATATTGTAGCTTTAATTCACTGTCTGCAGACAGAGCAGCCAGTCAGTTCTCTGTGCATCGTGCAAAGAAAAGCAGCTTTTCATTTGTGCTTGGCCTTTTCCTCAGGAGACAATGAGGCTCAAACGTTTTCACTGAAAAGATGGATTTCTGACTTCACCCAGGTTGAAAGATGAACCAGGACATGAGAGTTTTCCAGTTCAGGCACTTTACTTTAACAAGCTCTGGTGAACTTTGGACAGAATCACAGCAGCACAACGAACTTTGGCCTTTGCAGAGAGTCAGTCGGCTGCACTTTGTGCACTGTGGCTGGAGAGTGAGCTGCAAAACCAGCTGATGTGCAGCATGTCAAGCAGTCATGTTCAGGTGGGTGGTATTCACCCGTGGGACACATTTCACTACAGACTCTGGGAAACTTGAGACTGTGACACACACTCTCTGGTAACACGCTGCACTCGTGAACCAGTGTCAGCAAACCTAAATGAAAAGACTGGAATGAGCCAAAGATTAAAGCAGGTCCAACACACATGCCACACAAAACCATGCACGTTTATGCAAAACATCAGAAGCAATGGATAAGGGAAGGAAAAGAAACCAGCCACCATTCATTTGTTCAGGGTTTTACTTTTAGGCCTCTTTGTCACCTATGTGTGTGCACGTGTCCACAGAGAGTTTGGAGCAGTTAGAATTAAAGGTGCAAATATGTTGCGGTAAATGCAGCTTGTTGACTCAGAACAAGAGGGAAGCAGTTGTGTTCATCAGAGAGGTCATCTCCATCCCTCTGTTTCATTGTTTATCATGACTTATTTTGACTGTTGAAGCTCCTGACGTCCTGATGAGATGATGAAGAAAACAGTGACGCTGCTGTTGAGGAAACGGCTACTGGACCTGGCTAACCACTGGACTTTAAAGCAGGTATCACTGCCATGTGGTCTTCCTGACCTGGCTGCCTGAGGCGCTGAAAGACCATAAAAGAGAGAAAACAAGTTTCTCCTTGCTGTTCACCCTGTTGCTCCACCCACGTAAACTGCTGCTCCAGGATTCAGGTTCCACACAGCTGATGCAACCGGGGCTACAACAAAAGTCCTTTTGCCGTCTGTCCTGTTCTGCTGGTGGAGCTGTTAGATAAGGAGCCACTGTGTTGTCAGCAGAGCCCAGTGCGTCACGGCGAGATGAGAAAAGCTGCAGTGCTGATTACACTGATTAACATTTTCATTTCAGCCTCTGTGTGACTGAAATGTGCTACGGTGTAAGTGGCGCCTGTTACAGACCGGGACGTGGCCTGCAGCAGTAACAGTCCCAGAGAGGAGACGAGTGCAGGACGGATGTCTGTGACAGGAGGGGCTCAGGGACCCGGCCGCTGCTCCCACCTCTACACATGTGTGACCCACGCAGCTGATGTGGGCGCCTCCAGGTGCAGCGAGCACAGGTGGCCTCACAGTGACACCTGGTTTTTCTTTGCTTGGCGCCCTTCACTGCTGAGTCATCTGATGAATATGTTCTCATTCAACCAGGCTTTGAAATGCCAGACGACAGTGGAAAATACCCGTTGAATATTCTGAATACTTTGACGTCTCTCAGTCGTCTGTTCGTTTACCATCTGATTAGAGAACGAAGCGAAGCAAATCCTGGCACTGAACAAACTGAGCTTTAACAAGTTGTTGTCAACCAGTGTCTGTGTGTACAAACTACAACACAGTTTTCTAAATACAAGATTAGCTCACTTAGACATAAGACCTCTGCAGAACATCTGATCTGAAGTCAGTCACATTCTCAGTGAGTGATCAGCCTCGTGCTGTCGTCACTCTGGACGTCACACGGACGTTCAGACCAGAGATGGCTGAGTTAAACTCCACACTGTGACCTGACTTCTGTGTTACTGAGAGTCTTTTTAATTTTTATTCCAACATGAAGTAACACGTTTACAGGACAAAGGACAAAACATCGAAGATAAGACAACAAACATTAACAAAAGAGACAATTTTTACGTTTAGTTTGTGTGTGTTAGGGTGTGTAGTGTGTGTGTATCCAACTCCATGCAGTCTGACATTCAGTTTATAGTAAAGAAAGATTAAATTAAACAAAATAAATTAATACATTGTGGGTGAACTAATGGTGATAATGAAATAGAAAGGCAGATTCAATAATATCAATAGTGTTTACACATGGTCATAAAACCAGAATAAATCAAATTAACAAATCACTAAATGACTAGAAAGACTTTTTCTGACATCTTTCAGTGGCTTGTTCATTTATTATCTGATAAGAGAAAGAAGAGCAGCTGGTCTTCACACTTAAGCTGCTGCTGTCACCTGTTCACATGAGCACACCTTTCTCAGCTGATGTGGGCGCCTTCGGGTGCAGCCAACACAGGCGGCCTCCCAGTCACACCTGATTTTCCTTTGCTTCACTGTGGAGTTGTAGAGGAGCCGTGCACAGGCCCCCGGGGAGTCCAGGTGTTAGTGTAATGCTGTGCCACAACAGCAACTCAAAGTGCTTAACACAAAGCACACACGGGGATCAAACATTAAAGTGGATATATAGATAAAACATTAGATTAGAACATTGAATGTTACTGAAAAGCAACAGTACAAGTGGCAACATACATGAACAGATACCAGTACTTTTAGTATAACTGTGGCAAACTGTGGATTCTCTGTTCTCATTATGCCCCTTTACTGCAGCCTTCCCAAGACAAACTGCATGTGTCTGACTGAATATGTGTCAGTAGTGCCCTGGGGTTTGCCAAAGCCAGTCCACTTTTTCTGAGCCCACCCTCCTATGGCATACTACACCTATAACCCGTACGGTTCTTTCCTCGGGTCCCAGAGTGCCACCTGCTGGTCAGGGACTGCACACAATTTCCCTGCGCCTGTAGTCGCAGTATTACGGTGGTGGAGCTGCGGGTTTATTACCGTACCTGTGATGTTCAGACATGGCGGCCATCAACAAACCGGAACAGATCCACGGCTCCGTGTGAGTCTGGTTCAGCGATTCTCTCCGAAACCCCGCCTTGGTCTGGTTGACTGTTGACGGTCAGCTGATCTTCGATGGCGGAAGCCACACGATAAACAGCGTCAGGACAGCAGCACCTTACCGGAGGAAGCAGTTTGACCTGGTGCCTCCGTAGTGAGACACGACGGACGGACAGAGCTGACCTGTCCGCCTTCTCTCCGCGTGTTTGTTTGGGCAGTTTATTGTCTTTTTACAGTTTATTACCTGTCCGGGGATGTGTAACGGGACCACAGCGGTACAACGGGACCGACGGTAGGTGGCCACGGTACAGCTGCTTTATTCAGGTTCAACAGTGAAACTATTAAAATGATCGAACTATTGATCTTTGAACTTGAAGTCTGACGGTGAACTATAAAATCCTTCAGACAGACAGAAGGAAAACTAACCAAGACGAATTTAACATATTTAAAATGAGAGAGTCCTGAGTTTAAGTTCAGTGTTTAAAGAAACAGCTGTTTCTATGAAAGAGGTGGATTTAAAATATGAAAGATACAATTAATAATAATAATTAACTAAATGTTCAAAGTTAATGTATTGATTAAGTAAAATAACAGGATCTAATTAAGGCATGTGTGTGTTTCTGGACAAACAGTGGTCAGTGGGGTGCTGCTAACGTGGAACAGGAGCCGGTGGACACCTGTCTCAGTGGACACCTGTCTCAGTGACAGCCTGTCTCCGCCGGCAGAGGGC